AAAAGAGGAGATAGCAAGAAAATTTTGGTTTGATATTTTTCCTTAAGCAATTATACGAGTTTAATTGGATGAAGAGAGGAGTAATATCTTTTTTCAGTTATCTAAAAATTATGGATAATTAAACACTAATAACTTATGTGAGTTTGGCACCAATGTTGTCAAAATTGCAATTTAAATTGTAAAATCTTACAATTTTACAATTTTCGGTATACATTTTGAGTAAAATCTATGGTAAAATTGGAATTCAGTTAAATTAGGAGGTAAAATCGTAAATTGTAATTTTACTATAAAATCGGTTAAAATTTCAATTTTACCCACTGGTTGGCAGCTGGGCCATTTACTCTTGGGTTAGTGGGCTTTGACTGACAGCCCTTGAATTAAGCCCATTTCTTATTTTAAAAGCCCACAAGTCACAATCCACAACCCAACAAGGCAAAGACACATCAATTCCATGCTTCCAGAAATCGGGAGTTCGGGACAAATTTGATCTGAGATCTAGTGATCTTCTTTAGTCTTCACTCTTCAGTTTCACTAAGGGTTCGCCGCAGGGGAGCGAGAGATTGGACTGGACTGCCGTTGCTCATTTGCCTGCCGCTGGTCACTGACTGCCGGCTGCCGCTGCTCACTGCCACTGGCCCACTGCCGCTGGTTAGTGCTCAGGCATTTGCTGCTACTCGCTGCTCAGGGATTTGCTGGAGTTGCTGCTGCTGCTCACTGCACCTTGCTGGAGTTGCTGCCGGCGCCGCTTACTGACTCTTTTTCTCCTTCTCCTCAACTGAGGTATGCTTTATCTCTTGATCTTGACTTGGAAGACTTTGAAAACTTTGAATTTGTTTGTGTGGCATTATTTAATTAATTAGGAACTTAGGATTTAGTACTGAGATTTGGGTTTTTCTAATTTTATTTGTAGTTAGTTTAAATGTTTAACTAATGATTCATGTTAAATTAATTTGTTTATTTGTGTTATTAGATATTTAGATTTGAATTAGTTAATTTCAATTTTTCAACTCTGAATTTGATTTTTTGTTGTTTAATTTTAGTTTTATATAATTTATTATATATTATATATTAAATTTAGTCAAGTTTACCAATTCGATTTTAGGATTTTAATTTTATCTAGCAAAAATGATTTTAGGTAAGTACTTGATTTTGACAATCTTGTTTGGTACTAATATATAATCTTTGTTTATGAAAGCAATTAGTTTAACATCGGTGTGCACCAAATGTTTTCAGGGATGCAAAAATCATTAAATCCTATATCCTGGATTTATTTGATTTATTCCTTTTTACTTGCCAATATATTTTGGTATTAATTTATAGTAAAAAAATTTTCAGAACATTATTTATGTTAGTCAGAGGAAGCATGTGGATTTTGTCACGGGCTCCACAGCCTCACTAAGTACCTGGGATCCGGAATGGCAATTTTTTAAGTTTGAAGAACAGAGTTACCATAACTGAAGACTTTGACTTCGCAAAGAACGGTTCTCAATTCTGGTGAAAGACATCAGGTGAGCAACAACAGTGGAATCCAAACAGAAAAAAATATAGTTACGCAGAGAAGTCCAAGAACTTAATAATGGTCTGATACCATGATGATTTTAAAGTAAGAATGGAAAAAGTTGATTTATTTTTTTAACTTGTATTACATCTTTGTAAAGGCATATACATATCAAGGAACGGGCTTTTGTGTGAAATCATTGTTGAAATGGCGGCTTGTACTAGCTGCATTAATGAAGTTGTAGACGATTGTGCATTTCAGCAGAGATAGCGTATTGAGGCAGTAGGCAATTGTATGAATACTTGTTGTTGCAGGGAGTTGCAGTATGCATTTTTCTAGTGCATTTATTAGCATGTCAGCATATTTCAATATCATAACATGTTGTTTAAAAATCTTCTGTATGTGTTTGTTGCAGCAATTGGAAGGCGGCTCGGCACGTAATCTTCTGTCATTGTTATTCAGGAGAGAACATTGGAAGAGCACAGGAAGCTGGTAGAGAGGATCATAAAACGAGAAAAGAGGCACCAAAAAAAAGGATAGAGGCTGCTGGTATTCTTTACGAATGTCCATAATTGTACGTATTGCAAACAATACTATCTTAATACGACACTCAAATTTGGAAATCAGTACTTAGCATCTAGCTCCGTGCTCATGAGTCTGATGTTTTGCTGCTGCGTAGCATTCCAAAGAAAGATAAACTTCGATGAACAGTAGGCATTTTGAAATTAGGTATGTGTGTGTTAGGTTAAAGCTTGGAAACTGCACTGACGGGGTTGATTGAATGTTTTTCAAAGATTTTATCTCGACATGCTCAAGCATACAATTTGATGGTTTCACCTACACAAAATTGCCTCTTCTTGACAATCCATGTGATTTTTTTATGATGATACTTATAAATTTTCAGTTCTATAATAAGTAGAGATGTCAGACTCTGAGAAATTGCTGTGATTCATGGAACTCAAAAGTCCTTCATGTACAGAGCCCGCCATGGCCATGGCCATGCCCACCACCGCCCTCATGAAAAGATGGATGAAAAAAAAAAATTGCTTATAAATGGAGTTGAGTTTGGGTTACTAAACTGAAGGCCCATTAAATATGTACGCCATCCCAATTCTCTCAAGCCAATTTATTAAGCGAAGCCCAGCAAATTGACATACGGGTGGATCTGCCTTTGAATGAAAAAGGACCCGTTTGGTGGATTAACTTTCCCCTTTGAGCCTGTCATAGTGGTTTCAATCCACCACATGGCTACACAAATAGGTAGGCCTCTAGGCTCTTCAGGCTCAAACTGAATATGCGCTATTGTTTCCCGCGTTAGCCA